CGGTCCGGTACGGGGGCAACACTGAGGGTTGCGATCCGTTGCCGGACACGGAAAAAGACAAAAGACAAAAAAAAAAAATGTCAAAAAGGTCAAGATACAAGTTACAACTTTAAAAAGGCAGGGGATGAAATTCTAAAACAATACATGAGTACATTAGCCGGATAATATTTTTGCCAGTAATTCCGTGTCCCATTTTCTCCCTGTAGAAAAAAAATGCTAAACATTTTTTCCAATGGATTGATGTCAATGATCACTGTTTTACCAATGACCTGTGTTAAGTCAAATAAAATCTTTCCTTTGACTAACACAATAAAAAAAAAGTCAGCAGAAAAATGAAATTAAAAGATAATATAAATCCATTAACTTTTTAAAAACCCCTCATATCATTAACCAAAGGTAAAGGAACAAACTGACTGGTTTATCACAGAGTTTCCCTTTGTCCCTGCATTTGTTTAAATTTAATCCTAATTAAACATCACTGTAAAAGTTACACAAACATCAGCAAGCACTTAGAGACTGCAAGCTCATTATTGTAATAAAAATGTATATTTGACAAAAGCAGAACCGATACTGCCCTCCTTGCTGTCTACAGCATGAAAAGCCCAGTCAGTGCACCTGCGTAGTCGTAATCGGCACCACTCAGTCCCAGTTACCCATCCTCCCACCCCAAATGTGGACAATTATAGCACCTTGAATGATTACATGCACGTTCAGTGTGACAATGTCTGTCATCATAGCCATGGCAGTCCCGGCACGGAGCATGTGTGCAGTGACTACAGCTACAGTTGAACCTGGGGAGGAGCCAGCCAAACTCTTTGAGGGTCCCAACCCCATGTCTACAAATCTACAACCCAGAAAGCTCTGAGTTCTTGTATAAACTCATTTGGTGGCAAAACCTGGACTACTCTGACAAAACCTGGACTACTCTGAATTTATCGGCAGCAAATCCCTACCTAAACGTGTCTGGGGATTTTATGGTCTCTCTCATTTAGCTCAGTCATACATTTCTCTGCAGAGAGGTGTGTGCAATTATGGGAATGTTGTCCCAGAAGCAGCTGTGGAGGGTTGTGTGAAATACACAACTTGTACACTTTTCTAAAATTCTAAAAAGTCTGGAATCTATCTGGCCCTCCCACTTTCCACTAGGGCCTGTGGGGCAGCGTGTGCTAGCCTCTTTGCATGTCAGCCAGTAGCACCATGTCCCTTTTCACTTGGGGGACTTGGTGGTCCTGGGGAGGTGTCAGGGATATGGAGGTTGGAAGCCAGGCCTGAAAGAAGCAAGAGCTTCCCAAAGGTCATTCTCATGCACTCAGACCTCAGGAATAACGAAAACATTTATATTTAAAATTTTTATTGGAACTTCTCAAAAGTATCAAAGCTATTGCTATTCCTAATCTGTACTGACATAATTTTGAAGTAAAAGGAAGAGAGGAGGTTCTTACCTGAAAAAGTAGGTTTCAGCCCTCTCATAGTGGCCGGGTGTTAGTTTGAGGGGAGGGTAGTCAGTGGCCAGAGGCCTCACCATGAACAAGCCCATGGCCAAGGCCACAAAGAGGACCGGCAGCAGCAGATCCGAAAGCGTACCCTTCCAGGCGCGGAATGTGTGACGAAGCCGCTTGGTGAGGAGGGCGGACATCTGCGTGAGGAGCCGCCAGCCTCCCCTAGCTGGGGTCCTAGCAGGACAGCCACCTGCACAGACAAGAGATTCAGCAGGGGCCAGTCAGCTCAGGATAGACGTGGCTCTCCAGCACCTACCTGTTGTGAGGATTCCCTCCTTTATCTTCTAGATGAGGCTGCAGGACTTATAGCCACAGGACCACCATGTGTGCCAACTCCCCATACTAAATAAGAGCATCTTATATATCAAAAGGACCAACTCAGAGCCTTTGTATGTCCCTGTTCTCGAAGGCTAAAATAAGAGATGAGGTCTCATGGTATTGAACTCTGATCTTACTCCTGAAAGGAAAGGGATGAATGAGAAAGGATGAGAGAGGGACATGTGTTTACCTTTCTTGGTTACAATAAAACCTGATAACAGAGTGTGTATCCTAACATCAATAACAAAACAAGAGCAAGAGGTTCTGATGGCCCCAAACACCCTGATGCAGGCGGCTTGGAGGAGCTGCAGGTAACGGCTGCTCTGTCCAGTTTAGACCCACAGACCCAGGGTGTCCTTCCTCGGTTTCCTCCTCCCCTTCTCTGACTGGTTTTTTCTTCTCTGTTCTTAATCCGAGGTCTTTCCTGAGAAAGCCCCAGGTTATGTGAGGGTTGGGATTGGAGAATAACCACACCACCTGCCCCTCCTCAGTTCCACTGGCCCCAGCCTCCCACACCTTCCACTTTCCCTGCCAAGGCAAAGAGAAGCCCTGCACAGCCTGGCCCGGCCCGGCCCCCACATGCCTCTGCTCTAGCTGCAGCCACCCTGAGCCCACCCAGCCTCACCAATTCCACCCCTCCCTTCCTTACTCTGTGTGATACAGCCAGTCTGAAAACAGACCCCAGCAATCAGAGGGGTCAAGTGAAATTCGAAAGGAAAGAGTGAGTTGGGCATCACTGATCTATTGATCGCCTTGCCACACTCCCTCAAGAATGATCCTTTGGGGACTGCACAAAAAAATTTCTATAAATCCATTCCAGTTTAGGCCAGATGCTCCCCACAAAGCTATTGAGAGCAACTTTTACGTCAAGGTGAAAATGAGAAGTGAGGAACAAAAAGAGAGGCAGACCCAAGACTGCAGCCTTAAACTATGTCTGAAGGGAAGGACACACGGATCCATCAGCCTGGTCTGTAGTTTTCCCAGCTATTCCCTCCAAAGCAGTCCAGAGGATGCAATACACAGCATTTCACCAGAAAAGTGGTCCTAAAAAGGACTAAACTGCTTGTCCTGCTCACAAATGCCAAACCAAAGTACAGTTGATAGAGGAGCACTGAACAAATTTGAAGACCCCAAGGAAAGCATTTTTAAAGAAACTGCACAATTTTGAAAGATAAATGACTGGTAACAGTATTGAGAACA